TTGAACAAGCTGAAGCTATGCTAAGCTAATACATTTAAATGGGTCAGACCAAGACTAACACCATAACAGCATCTATGAGCAGAGCAGTGATCCACTCCATTTTGAACCACTACTGTGAAGTTTCCTGTAAAGTTGCTTTGAAAATAGAGCAGGAGCACAATCCAGATAAAAATAAATAAATGAATAAATAAATAATAATAGCTGCTTTATGTTTGTGCTAATTGCATCAAGCGCATATGAACAAAATATGTATTTTAAAATTAATTTTACACTTGGAACATATGTTGTAATGCACTCATGTTGCCAAATTCAAAACTTTTTTTTTAATATTAAAAATGCTTCTTGTTTTTTCTTTCAAACTGTTGCTTCTCACAGGATACAAAACTCTCAACATTCACGCTCCATCTTATAATAAACATTATGCATTTACACCTCCTTCCTGCAAAGGATGGAGGATTGTGACAAAAAGGGAAATTTCAACACAATCTGCTGGCTTCCCTAAATAGATCACTTTTACCAATTGGCATTTCATAATATATACTGACAATGATTGGGTTATAATAAATTAGGAATTAATTGATTAACTGTATTTGAATCTGGATCTAAAATGGATCATTTTATGACTTTTGATGATGGTAATTTTGCTGTAAATTAGGGTTATATAAATAAGTTAATAAAATTTAATCGAAACAACATTTTTTTAATATAAATTTATAGTTTTTCATAAAATTTAAGCACATCAGGTCAAAACTTTAGTCACAAGACAGAATTAGGAGAACTGTTGTGCACTTCTAAAAAAATAAGAGCACAGTAGAAATTGAAAATATTTCCACAGAGGCAAAAGTTATTTCCAATCAAAAGTTGTAAACAATTTATATGCTACTCACTATTTTTTACTTGCATTGTGTTCTTTGCACTTTTAGTGGATTTCTGAATGTGTTTCAGGAACCATTAAACCCATCCTACATGCACAAGCTGGCTGAACTATCATGTACATTGCTTTATGAAATATACATTATTACAAATTGCTTTGCAAATTGGTCTACCTGGCATCATAAATGACCTAATGCATATTACATCACTTGTAGAAAAGGGACTTTTATAGGAACATGTCAAATATATTAAATTTGACAATGAAAAATAAAATAAAAAATCAAACCGCAAACAATCTAAACAAATTTGCATTCTATGTGCGAAAGCTGCGAGGACGTTTATGTAACAACAATGCTGTGAAACATAGATGATGTTCTGAGAATGACAAGGCACAACCCACACAAAGTGACAACAGTGTAACAACATGGCTGCTTCTTTTCTTCACACTTTTATTGTCTTTCTGTTTACCTGAGGCTAACATCTCCTGTCACTGCTAATGCTTTTTACAGGTGCACTGGTGGAAAAATGCACACAAAGACAGTGTGTAGTAGATGTCCTGGGGATCTGTCTCACATACTACACAACAGGTTTTATCTCCATGATCGTGCAATTAACTGAATTATAACCATTTGGTGTTTAAACGACAACACAAGTTACTCAGTTGTGGACGTACAACAAATGATTACTTTCTGCACATTTCATACAAATTCCTAGCTCATCAGGTATTTTGCTCACAAACACACATACTAGCAAAAACATTATCGCCCACCTTTGTCTTCTGGTGGCAACTAATACAAATATTGACTTTGATACAGAAACACTCAAGATTTTGAGAAGTAATATTTTGACCTTCTCTTTTGCACGTAGTTTGTTCTGACGCCATAATTGTTATCAACACATTGAGGAAAAATGTAAACTACACTAATATTTTTCAGGTAATAAAAAGTTGATGAACCAGGAGCTTTGACCATCAGTATGCAAAGTGTCTATCTTGTACTAGTACGTGGATAAGATGTAACATTGTACATAAACCTACAAACCGGATTCCAAAAAAGTTGGGACACTAAACAAGTTGTGAATAAAAACTGAATGCAATGATGTGGAGATGCCAACATCTAATATTTTATTCAGAATAGAACACAAATCACAGATCAAAAGTTTAAACGGAGAGAATGTATCATTTTAAGGGAAAAATCTATTGTTTCCAAATTTCATGGCGTCAACAAATCCCCAAAAAGTTGGGACAAGTCCATTTTTACCACTGTGTGGCATCCCCCCTTCTTCTTACAACACTCAACAGATGTCTGGGGACAGAGGAGACCAGTTTCTCAAGTTTAGAAATAGGAATGCTCTCCCATTCATGTCTCATACAGGCCTCTAACTGTTCAATCGTCTTGGGCCTTCTTTGTCGCACCTTCCTCTTTATGATGCGCCAAATGTTCTCTATAGGTAAAAGATCTGGACTGCAGGCTGGCCATTTCAGTACCCGGATCCTTCTCCTACATAGCCATGATGTTATGATTGCTGCAGAATGTGGTCTGGCATTATCGTGTTGAAAAATGCAGGGTCTTCCCTGAAAGAGATGACGTCTAGATGGGAGCATATGTTGTTCTAGAACCTGAACATAGTTCTCTGCATTAATGGTGCCTTTCCAGACATGCAAGCTGCCCATGCCACAAGCGCTCATGCAACCCCATACCATCAGTGATGCAGGCTTCTGAACGGAGCGTTGATAACAACTTGGGCTATCCTTGTCCTCTCTGGTCCGGATGACATGGCGTCCCAATGTTCCATAAAGAACTTCAAATCGTGACTCATCTGACCACACAACAGTCTTCCATTTTGTCACACTCCATTTTAAATGACCCCTGGCCCAGTGCAAACATCTGAGCTTGTGAAACTTGCTTAGAAATGGCTTCCTCTTTGCACTGTAGAGTTTCAGCTGGCAACGGCTGATGGCACGGTGGATTGTGTTCACTGACAATACTTTCTGGAAGTATTCCTGAGCCCATTCTGTTATTTCCTTGACAGTGGCATTCCTGTTTGAGGTGCAGTGACGTTTAAGGGCCCGGAGATCACGAGCATCCAGTAGAGTTTTACAGCCTTGACCCTTACACACAGCGATTGTTCCAGATTCTCTGAATCTTTTGATGATGTTATGCACGGTTGATGATAACTTAAACGTCTTTGCTATTTTACGCTGGGTAACACCATTCTGGTATTGCTGCACTATCTTTCTGCGCAACAATGGTGGAATTGGTGATCCTCTTACCATCTTGGCTTCTGAGAGACACTGACACTCTGAGAAGCTCTTTTTATACCCAATCATGTTGTCAATTGACACAATTAGTGTTAATTGGTCTTCCAGCTGTTCGTTATATGCACCATTTCCTTTTTCCAGCCACTTATTGATACTTGTCCCAACTTTTTTTAGGATTTGTTGATGCCATGAAATTTGGAAACAACAGATTTTTTCCTTAAAATGATACATTCTCTCCGTTTAAACTTTTGATCTGTGATTTGTGTTCTATTCTGAATAAAATATTAGATGTTGGAACCTCCACATCATTGTATTCAGTTTTTATTCACAATTTGTTTAGTGTCCCAACTTTTCTGGAATCCGGTTTGTAGACAGTTATGCATTAAACATCTGGTTTAATAATTTCTGTAAATTTTACTATTGAAACATGAAAAGATGATTGAAAGGAATGGTCTTGTATTACATGATAATATACTTGTATTTTTAAATACCACCAGTACTAAGGATATTTGTATTGTCAATGTATGTTTACTTTATATTGTATGTCTCTTAGTGTTCAGTGTATTGTACTTCTTGTACTATCATAACCTCTTTTTTGTTTGTTTTGCTTTTTGGTCTCCATCCCCACTGTTACATGTAATAATCACAGCCATTTGTACGTTTCCATCAGTAGTGTCACCATGGCGACCTTGATCAACTGGCTGCTCATTGGCTTCTGGGCTGATGAAAAGGAGGTCAACAGAGTAGTTGGAATTAATGGACTTTATCGCACAAGTAATGGATCCTCTACACATAAACATGCACAGATGCCATGGCTAAGTACGAGACGGTTGATGGGAGTCACAGACCCTACAAACCTAATTATGTGAACTGATGCAGCCATCAGACAGGGAATACTCCGTGTGGCACGCATATGAACATGTAAACTCAATCAACTAGCACTTTACCTGCAGGGGACACACCAATAAATCATGTAGCAGTGCCAATAAATCAGCTCTGGATACAACACTTTGATAGTAATTGACATCTATGAAAAAATGCACAAACCTACAAAGATGTTGTTCAAAGAGACAAAACACAGTCAAAGAAATGGCTGCAGACATATGGATTGGTCGCAGTACATAGTTTTGATTTTAGTTGCACCCAGCATATTGAAAATGTAGCTGTGGATGAACTTATCACATAAAGCCAGTGCAAATAACTAACTTTACATTATACCAATTCTTAAGAAAAAATACACACATTCTGTATGAACATATGAGCTTAAACAAAAAAGACTTACTTTTTAGGTTCTAAGTACACAAAAATTAATTTTCCACTCTCTTCTAAGTAAAACTGCAGTACATGCTATTAAAAAGAAAGAAAGAAAGAAAGAAAGAAAGAACGAAAGACAGACAGAAAGTCAGAAATTCAGAAAGAAAGAAAGAACAAAATAAAGAAAGAAAAGAAATAAAGAGTTAGGAGAAACAATGAGTTCACGTTGCGTTTAGGGTGAATTAATTTCAGATAAATGTGTGAAGCTTCGAAGGTCCACCTTTATTTTACACAAGAACAAAACATGATTGGCTTTTATCAAACCAGTAAATAATTTACAAAATATGTTATGTAAGAATGAAATAAGCCCAAGCGTTGGAAGCAAATTCCCAAACTTCTAGGAAGGTAAAAGGTGAAAACAAATTGACATTGTCACTGATGACAAGTCGAGATGAAATCAACATTTGGTTTATAGTTAGCATGTTTTGTTTTTGAAAAAATGCTACTAATGATGACTTTTTCCATAATATCAATAATGTGAATTCAGGTTTTTGCCTCCAAATGTTAAACTGATCATGGGTAGGTATTTCATGGAGGAAGTGCTTAGTCTTACCTGTGCACTTTTTTAGAATGCCAGGCTGTCTTCCATGCATCCCGAGCCTACACTTGAAGTTTTCCTCCCAGAATTCAGCAAACCAAACATTTCTTCTGTTGTTGGACAGTGAGCGACTACGAAAATACCGGTCAAAGGCTGCATAAAAGACAGAAAGAGGAAGAGCAGAGGGTGAGACGGGGGTTTAATACTGTACAAAATACGCCTCTGGTACCGTAACACGCATCTGTCTGACTAAAAGACATGAATTCAACACTGAGATCTTTTAACAGTGCAGTGTGAGGAGGGCTCTGGTGCCTCAGGGTTTAAGAACTTTAATTCCGCTGAGACTCAACTGGGAAAAAAAAATAATATCCATGTTCACAGCAGTGTAACATATTCTGTCATTGAAAGAAGTGGAATATAAATAACCTCTGTATTGTTGAAAAGCCATTTTTGTTCAGCGTATTACTAGAATGAGAGCAAGGAGAAACATTTTAAGCACTACAGCTTGACCACTTGTTTAATAAATTATCTGAAAAGTGAGAAACGGGGATGAAAACATTTCTTAAGTCACAGAAATGGAACTTGCAGAATGAGATGATGCAAGTAATAGGAGACCAAGAAAATGCAGCAGTTAAACTGAAAAAAGCTGCTTTTAAAAGATTCTTCTTTTAAGAACTTCAAGTCTAAACAAAAAATGTAAAGGATGATTTAGACAAATTTTCCAAAGTAACAAACTTTAGAGCAGTGGTTTTCAAACTTGAGTACTGCTTGATGAGTACCACTTTACAGAGCTCTCCACGCACCACCATTATGACTAACATTAGAAATCAGCAAAACAATCTTTCAAGTTGGAAAACAAAACTAATACTTTCACTGCTACCGATTGTTAAACCTGTACCAAAATGTTTCAAAACAAATATGACAAAAACAAGCAAGCTGAATAAATGGACTGTACTTATATAGCACCTTTCTATCTTAAGACACAAAGCGCTTTCCACTACAATCTGTGCCCTCATTTACCCATTCATACAGCACTCTACTATATTGTTACAAAGAATAATCAGTGCTTTATCACATTCGTACACTGATGGGACACACATCGGAGGCAATAAGAGGTTCAGTGTCTTGCCAAGGGACACTTCAGCATGTGACTGCTGGTGGAATCAAATCCCCAACTCTTGAACTGGAGGACAACGCAACGGCTCTAACCACTCAGCCACAGCCACCTCATATTCCATCTAAATGTCTGAATGCAACCTAAAAAAAAAGCACAGTTACTTCTTTATTTTAACCATATCCCTTTAACAAATACAAGGTGCTAATGTACACACACCAAGACCTAATCATCCTCTTCTGGGTATTCTCTGGTTTTATTACTGTACATTTAGTGGTAATTGCAGAAATGCTTAATTAAATCATCATCAACTACTTGAGATATGTCCAAAAATTCAAAGAACAAATCTAAAAACACCTTGATTGTTAAATTAATATAATTACTTTAACAATCTTCAGATTTTAATACTCAGGATAAATAACGGAGATGGGTTTCTGGTTGGCAGGTGTCACAATGTGCTTTGTGATAATATACTCCAAAAAGTTTCTGTTATTGCACTGATTCAGGGGGATCCATTTGTTGAAGGTTGTGGTTAAAAAAAAGTGATGGCATTATTACGGAGAACAATTGGTAGGAGTGCATCAAGGATCGGCTCTGAGCCTCTTCTTGTTTGCTCTGGTCATGGACCGACTAACAGATGAGGTCAGGCAGGAATCCCCATGGACTATGATGTTTGAAGATGATACTGTGATCTGTGATGAGAACAGGGAACAGGTGGAAGAAAACTTAGAGAGGTGGAGGTATGCACTTGAAAGAAAAGTAATGAAAGTCAACCGTAGTAAGACAGAGTACATGTGTGAATGAAAGGGAGGCCAGGCTGGTGGAACAGTGAGGCTACAAGGAGCAGAGGTCACAAAGGTGCAGGACTTCAAGTACTTGGGGTCCACTGTCCAAGAAAATGGGGAGTGTAGTAAAGAGGTGAAAAAGAGAGTCCAGACAGGATGGAGTGGATGGAGAAAAGTTTCAGGAGTGATTTGTGACAAAAGGGTGTCAGCAAAGGTCAAAGAAAAAGTTTACAAGACAGTGGTGAGACCAGCTGTTGTATGGTCTGGAGACAGTGGTACTGACAAAAAGACAGGAGAAAGAACTGGAAGTAGCAGAAATGAAGATGTTGAGGTTCTCCTTAGGAGTGACAAGGATGGATAAGATTAGGGATTAGATCATCAGGTTAAACAACTGGGAGATAAAGTTAGAGAGGTCAGACTGAGAAGGTTTGGACATGTCCAGAGGAGGGACAGTGGGTATATTGGTAGAAAAATGTTAGATATGCAACTGCCAGGAAAAAGACAAAGAGGAGATTATATGGATGCAGTTAGAGAGGACATGGAGGTAGATGGAGTGAGGACAGAGGATGCAGAGGACAGTGTAAGATGGAGGAGGATGACTTGCTGTGGTGAGCCCTGAAGAGGGACAAGCCAAAAGAAGAAGTAGAAAAATTATTGCTGAGAACAGCACCATACTCTGGCCTTGGATCTTGTTTTGTCCCACAACATATTAATACAAATTTTAGATAACTTGAATCATATTTTTTGCCGTTTTGCACTTTTCATTGCCAGTAGGTCCTATAAAAACTACTGGTGCAACTAACGTATCAGTTAGGCATTGTCAGCTCCAGTTGACACAGAGGTTTTCAAAATATTCTCTATTCTAGTTTTAATTATTCATTCAACCTTTATTTAGATAGGAAAATCCCATTGAGCCTCGAGGACTCATTTACAAGAGAGATGAGAGATGAGAATTAGTTTCTATTTGTAGCTAATATCATAATTTGTCACTCACATTTTTGGCAAATTCTACTTTTTAGCTTTCCATTGCAGTTTAGTTTAGGGTAGTTAATTAGCTTGTTACTGAACTTGTATATAGTTAATCACAAAATGTATTTTAAGTACCACTACAGGGATCTTGGGCACCACTGGTGGTACTTGTACCACAGTTTGAGAGTCATGGCTTTAGAGTTAAGTGGATACATTTTATGGAGTGAGAACATTTCAGACTGACTTTGACACCATGTGCCATGTGTGAGTCACTGTAAAAGCTGACAAGAGCTGCCCTGATTGATCTTGTCTGCTGTCATGGATGCGGGTTCTGTGTGTAGGCAGCATTACTGATAGACTACTGTATGTGTTTACTCTATGTGGAACTCGACAGGAAGTACATGTCAGGTGGGATCAGCCTCCCACTATGCTAGCAGATGTGATGTTCACAAACTTACATATGAGCCAAAATAGTGAGACTCAAGAGAAATGGGAGTGGAAATGGCACAAACAAGAGTCAACGGTGGGGTTGAAAACTGCCTAAAAGGTTTAAACAGAGAACCGAGAAAGTTTGTTTCTTTTGACTGAATCAGCGCGGAGCATCGATGTGTTTGCTCACTGCTGTGCCAAATGATGTGCCCGGCACAGCACTCGCTTTAGTTAGAGATAAGTGAACAAATTACAGAGCCAGCAACTCTTGGAAGTCAAAGTAATTTAGATCAGCAGTGTTTTGTAATGTACACCTCTAACTGGATAAATATTATGTTTCAGCCTGAAGGACAATACAAAGATGAACAAAAGAAAATGTGGGAGTTTCAACATTATGGCTGAGGTTTGAAACCAACACTGATCAGTATGGCAAGCTGTTTGAACATTTATGTGATATTTTTGATGTCAGACCCACACCCTTTCAGCTGCTTACCTCTTCCTCCGCTTCAATAAATTGAACGCAGACTTTTTTCTGACTATACTATAGATGTATGCAACATTTAAACTGCAGAAGGACAAAATGACCTTCTTCCTTAATTATCTTTTCAGTCTCAAACACTGTCAGTTGACTTTTCTTTCTCATCTTCTAATTAGTATGAAGAGCAAGTACTTTTACCAGTGAACATTTTCAGTTTACTAGTAGCAGTACTAAGCCTTTAGAGATAATGGGCTGATAAGTGGTTTTAAGGAATACCACAATGATATAAAGTGTCAAAACCATTGAAATTTTCAATATTTAATAGCCTTAAAATGAGATAACAGACACTTTTAAAATTTGTTTTAATTTCCCAACTTTGTTTGCATTTCTGTTTAGAAATAAAAGCAAATGCATCATATTTCTGATTGCCTCATTAGTGTTACATTTGTTTCTTTTCCTGTTTTTAAACTGGCTCACAAGTTAGAACTGAAGGCTAATTTAACAAAGTTAAGTTGGGTCCTCTGGACGGTTTATTTTTGTTGAAACATTTTGTCTTTCATCCAAAAGACTTCATCAGTCTGAGGAGCCGCAACCAACTCAGTCTTATAAATAGCACCTTCTCAAAGTGGGTCAACCAGATCCAGAAACCGTTCAGAGGACCAAATTTAACTTTGTTCAATTTTTCTATTGAGCATGAATCAGGATAACTGTAGGTGAAGTATTTAGTGCACACATTTGACAGTCACCAATAGTTCTACAGGTAGAAATTGAGGTACCACTTTGAAATAAGGCTCCCCTTATAGATGGCTAATAAATAGTTTATAGATATGTTATTAATTCATCTATAAACACTTTATAAATCATTAATAATTGCTTATTATGCATTAATTAAGGGTGACAGAGACAAAACTGACCAGTTTCTTGCCAAATCTGCCACCTATATATTTAATCTAGATTTGTTATATTAAACATTTCAGACTAAGTTACTACCTTGTAAGCACAATAAGCATTTGTACACCTATTTTTTAAGATAAAATATTAGTTGTAGATACTTGTAACGCAGTGATAAAGTACAATATTATATGCTAACAAAATAGGTTTACAAATGCTTATTGTGCTTACAAGGTAGTAACTTGGTCTGAAATGTTTTATATAACATTTCTAGATGAAATATATAGGTGAACAGATTTGGCTCACTATTTGGCAAGAAACTGGTCAGTTTTGTCTCTCTGTCACCCTTAATTAATGCATAATAATCAGTTAATGATTTATAAAGTGTTTATAGAGGAATAAATAAAGTAGCTACAACCTATTTATTAGCCATCTATAAGGGGAGCCTTATAAAAAGTCTATTAGTAAGGACTGTTGAGCAACCAGTTTGACAAGTACAGATTCTGCTTCAACTAGTTGGAAAAAAAAGTGTCATTAGTTAAAGTTTTTCATCAAATGGTGCACCTAGGTGCTAAATCTGTACGATAAAATCTCAGACTAGAAGAGAAAAATGTATCTGATAAATGCTCAAATGATTTGCTACAGAAATTTAAGTTAGTTTTAATAAAAAATATCTCTCTAGCAGGAGAAGTGAAATCCAACAAGCAGAAAAGTTGATCATCAATAATTCAAGTAGAGCAGAAGAATAAGATGTCGTTTTGGCTTTGATTAAAGGAGACTTCTTATGAGGAGGTATACAATAAACAAATGAAAAAGTTACTCCTCGTCTTAACTACACTTTCTTCATGGCACAGACTTAGACGGTACACGAGTGAAGAGGAGCATTTAAAATCCAACATCTCATCATTTGCTGATGTTTATTTGCACTCAAAGACAATGCATTTAAAAACTATGGACAATGAAGTCCAGCTGTCAGCTGCACTGATTATAACTAAACTACTATAAATTAGGGCTTTAAACAGACTACTCGAGTAATCTACACATCGATTCCTAGGACATCTATTGAGTTTTTTAAATTTCATGTCGAGTATTCGTGGTGACGTCATTACGCCACCATTACGTCATTGCGTCACGCGTCACGGGATCTGCACTGGGCGCGGGTTACAAAATGGATTCCTCCAAGCAGACGGATGGAGCAGAGCAGACCCAGTCTTGACAAACAGGTAGAAATGCATCAATAGTCTGGAAATATTTCACTAAAGATGAATCTTCTGGTTCAACTACCGTAAGGAAACAGAAAATTAAACAACTTCCTGACTGTTTGGAACTCGTTGCGAACTGGTGTTACACCATATTTTGTGACCGTAGGGGGCGGTGCTGCACTGTTGCAGGTCACAGAATATGGTGTAACACAGGGCCCAATGACGGAGCCAGAACCAGCTTCCTCTGACCTTGTTTCACAAACAAAAAGCAAAAAATATTAATCTCTAAACCTATAAAAAAATCTATAAACATATTAATCTCTAAAACTAAACTTAATGCGCACCACAGCTGGTGGTGGTGCGGGGTGGGACCCCCACTGTTTTAGTTTCGTTTTTGACGTGATGTACGTTTCTTCACTTTTGGGCATTTTTAAAAATATTATTTTAAATAAAATAAAAAATAAAAATAAACAAGCTATTTTTTTAGACTGTGATAGATGATGTAACCTTTAAATGCAAAAAAAAAGTGTAGATTAAGCTAATTTTAAACACACAACTGGAATAAGTGAGCAAAAATCTACAGTTTTAACATTAAATCTACATCTGTGGCTCACTGTTAATAAATGAACATTTAAAGCTTGACAGATCTGTTGCTAAAATATGCAACAAGAAATTTTTTCAAGGTCAAGGTGCACCGCATGTGGTACATGTGGTGGAACGAAATTGTGTACACAAGGTCCCAGTTACATCCAACAAAAGTATAAAATGTAAAGAACTAGAGTAATAAGATCTAAGATAAGAGCTAAGAGATACGCTCACCTAAGAATACACTAAACACTAATAGTCCAAAAACAATACGCCGAACAACAGCAGCACAAACATGAGCCTGTGTGAGCAGATGAATATTTACAAGAGTTGTGTGACATTTGGCATGACAGCACATTGTCATAGCATCTCACTTTCTTCAACTGTACATGAGTTGGATCTGTGATGACATTTAAACACGTTCTTACCATCCACAGATGCTCGTTTGGGAAGAATCGTTATGGCCCCTTCGGCCACTTTCTCTTGGCCAATCACCGGCACGATCTTGGACCCCCAGCTGTCTGACCCCACCCACAGGAAGTGGCCTGTCTGGTTGTTTGTTTTGGCCGCGTCAAGAACACGTCTGTTTTAGAGGGATGACAATGAGAACTTTGAGGAAGGCTAGGAGCAAAAAAGCAAAAGCGTGGCTGAGTATTTAGCGATTGATGCTGTTAATGTGTCTTTCAAGAGAAAATAAAAGAAAATGGCTGTCTGTACTTTCTGAATGTAACAGTTGATGACATTCTACCACATGTTTTAATCCATCGCTTTCCAAGTAAAGTGAAAGCTCTACTCTACTATTTTGACCACATAATGTCAAAGCTGTAAGAACATGATTTGCATAAGTATATATAATTACAGTCTTTCCTCTGCAATTTCAACTCCTGTCACAATATCAGCCCTACAGCGAATAAAATAGGGCAAGTAAGTGTCCAAGTTTCTACTGTAAAATTAGCAAGAAAATGGCAAAGTAAAAGCTACTTAATGAAGTACTCTAAGTAGTTGGAATATTTAGAAAAAAATGAGTTAATTGAGACCAGCACAAACCGAATGTCGTCTTCATTAGCAAACATGATGATGGCCCTGGCGTTGGAGGTCTCCAGCAGGCGCCTGATGATTTTGTCGAACTCCCCTAGCCTGGGCTCCCTGGGGATCTTCAAGGACTGAGCTATACACACACCACCTGCAACAAAAAAACACAGAAAGCGCTTTTTATTTTACAGCGACCGATTTGCACTTTTCATTCTGCACTCACTCGGCTTTGGTCATTGATTCAGCATATACTCATTTCATACCACGGGGTTCTAAACCTGGTTGAAAGCCCACAGTGTGGAGACCTCTGATTAAGGCTCTGCTGCTTCTTAAAGCCATACAAATGGAAAGAAAGCATGGCAGGAGAAGCAAAAGGTAGAAAATTCAAGAAAATTCTAAGAAATGCTGGACTGAGTGCCAAAATATAAGAGGCAGTAAATGCCACATCAGAGTCGTGTCTATTACCAACATAGTAAAACATAAATAAATGGCGAGACAGTACAGAAGACAATAACTGCCATAACTTCTGTTTTTTTTTTTTAAGATCACAAGCTGATTGATTGATTAAGGTTACCAAGTTTTACCTCAGAAAAACAAGACTCATTTTCTCAAGAAGACATGCTGCATAAAAAAGAAGTTCATTTTCTCAAGTTAAGATGATCACAGTGCCAAAATAAGTGGTTCCTGTATTACATCCAATTTCATCATGCAGTTTGCTGTCAGGACACTTGGAGACATCAGTATTGATCAGTGATGGATGGTTCTTGGAATTTCAACCACAACTCAGTCACCAGTATGTGTCCTGTTTGATGAAGTTCCACCTGCTGTCGATGGGTTTGAAGTAATTTTCAGATTTTATAGATTTAAATAATTCAATGGATTAACTCAATATTTCATGAAAACAAGCTTTGTGGTCACAAGCTAATAAGATAAAATCATGAGATAACAGCATGGGTATACATTTGTAAGTATTTCATCTAGTGGGTTTTCTAATTGGCAGCATAGTGGCTCAGTTGGAAGAGCTGTTCCTTTTCAGCGAGAAGGTCGCTGGATCAAATCCTGGCCGGGAGCCCATTTGGGTGGGGTTTGCATGTTCAATCCGTGCATATGCGGGTTTTCTCGGGGTACACTACAGTAGTCCCTCGCTACTTCACAGTTCGTTTTTCGCGGACTCGTTCTATCGCGGTTTTTCAAAATAAGATTGGACATGACACACAACTGGCTGATTGATGGATGAGCCGCATGATCGATCAGCCAGGAATTTTTATTTAAAATAAATTATTTTGAATTATTTAGCACCTCCTGCACTTTTGAGCAGCCCACACTGTAGGAGAAACCTGCTCCTGCAGCGCCTCCTCCCTCCTCTGTGATCTCCGTTCTGCTGCGGACAAGTGGGCGTGGTCAAGAGCGCAAAGTGCAGCCGTGGCTGAGAGGAGACAGGGAGCTGAAATCATGACATTCTGTGATCTTTTAGAGTGTTTAAAGTATAGAAACATTGTTTAGAATATTGCCAGTGTGGCAAGGGTTTAAAACGTCTTATTATACACTAAAATAAACTACTACTTACGGTTTGTTACGCTTCGGGTTACGGATCCCCCGCGATAAACGAGGGACTACTGTAATCTGGTTTCCTCCCACAGACAAAAAACATGCATGTTAAAAATTAAATCTAAATTGTCCCAAGGTGTGAGTGACAGCGTGAATGTTTGTTTGTCTCTGTGTGTCCATGTGATGGACTGGAGACCTGTCCAGGGTGTACCCCTCCTCTTGCACAGTCACTGCTGGATATGGGCACCAGTAACCCCCGTGACCCGAAAATGAAGAAGTGGGTAAAAGTGGACGGATATCCATGGCATGGATGGATGGATGGATGGATGGGTTTTCTGATTAAAAAAAACATCACAACAAAGAAGGGTGGGGGAGAGAAAGGTTTAGGTGAAAAGATTGGAACAATTAGATGAGGAGAAAAAGCTCAAGCATATGTTTAGAGGAATGAAGGTGTTGTTTCTGATTGCGTGGGAGAGAATTTATTCAAGAGGAAACAAACATGGGGAGAACTGATCTAAAGCATGTTTGTGCTCAGTGAGGCAGGAAATGTGTCAGTGACTCTGCACACCTCCTGTTGTATTGTTGAGTGTGACGGCTGTAATTAATTCACAGTCATAAAAATGGATTTTTTTTCATATTATTTCCACAGTTTCATGGTTTCTCAGTCAGTTTAGCCTTTATCCACGTCATATTCAAGTTTTGAATTGTAATTACCTTAGCTGTATTTTGTCTTCAGCCCTGATCAAAGTGACATTTAGAAATTCATTAAAAAAAACATGAAACCAGGGTTTTTGTGTTTGCATTTTATTTAAATTGTTATCTCCGTGCATGCTTGTGTAGAGAGACACCGATATCTCTCGTCCTGGTCCAGCCCATTTATTGAACATCTGTACAGTCTGTCGCTTTCACTATATCACGAACTTTAATCAACGTACGCTCACTCTCATACCCAGGCACACATCAAGAGTGCACGACAGCTAAAACAAATTCTCATTAGTCTCAAATTAAAAGACTCTCAAGGCCAATTACTAAAGAGACAAACGCTGCACTGACACCCCGTCATCCCACAAACACAAACACTCGAGCCAAAACACTACTTATCACAGAACATTTTGACACTGTCCCATCTTCAGTAAAATTTATATCTAAAATTTATTTTGGTATACCGTATTTTTCAGACTACAAGTTCACTGACATATTTTTGAGCACCGTGTACCACATAAAATCGGTTTGAGGTCTGTAAGCACAACCAACATTGATACATAAGGCGCACCGGATTATAAGACTCACTGTCGATTTTTGAGAAAATTAAAGGATTTTAAATGCGCCTTATAGTCTGAAAAATACGGTAGATTACATTTTCTTCTTTTCCTCCCAACATCAATTTTATTGTACTTTTCTCCACATTAAAGACATGTTTGAAATATTTTCACTATAAACATTCACAAAATGCTTTAATTCAAAGAGATAACCAAATAAGGAGCAATGGGGCTTTGTGATCATGCATTTTGTGTAATAGTTTGGAAAATCTTTGGTTGAATATCTTTTAGTTGGTCAATAGACCACTCTGGTGTCTTCTTCTGCCTCTGCATTTGTTAATTAAACCAGGGGTTCCCAAATGTTTCCATGCCATAATAATATAATAATGTGTTATGGATTATCATCATTGTATGTTCCCATACAATGGCAAAATTGGCTCTCTGCATTTAACCCATCCATCACCAGGTGGTGCAGTGGGCAGCTATTGAAAGCGCCCGGAGAGCATTTTTGGGGATAAGGTGTGCTGCTCAGAGACACCACGAGATGTGCAATGACTGGGGATTGAACCTGGGACTTTCAGGTCCCGAGTCTGCTGCCCTGCCTCTACACCATCTTGGCCCCATGGCCCACCAAACAGCATTAGCTTCTGGCCGAGACCCCCCTCGCAAAGCCACAAACGTTACAAAATATGTAAAGAAACATCAACTTTTAGAATGTTTCAACGTTTATTCACTATATTCAATTAATTATTATATTATATTATATTATATTCCCACTGAAAAAAACAACAACTTTTTAACAAACTGTTGACCAAAAAAACAAAACAAAAGAAATCTAACTCTCTCTCTCAAGCGTGTTTATCTGGAAATGACAGACAGATTTCGTGGACAATTATTATTATTATTACTATTTTTTTTTTTTTTTGCTTTTTTTTTTTTTTTTTTAAATCTTCTCTCCAGATTTATGTGGTCCCCCTGGTGCCCCCTAGGAGGCCGTGCCCCCCCACTTTGAAAATCACTGAATTAAACCACCTTTAGCACCAACAGCAGCCTTCAAAATATTTGGAAATAATCCAGCACACATGGCAGACCTCTCCTGTGGATGTTTTTATTTATTTATTTCTGGCAGAAAGGTTTAATCTCAACCATTTTAAAAAGAAAACATTAGCTGTTTTAAACTCTCTCCACTAATGTTTTACTGGGCTACACTCCAGACTTAACTGTTTGTTTCTGAGAGGTCTCAACCCTGAAGGAGGATTTATAAGTTGACTGATCATTAATATTGCTTTTTTTATTACATTATTTACCATGAGTCTTCAGTTTGTAGTGAAATAATACCAAACACATCTCAGGATAATGCTGCCATTACCATGAATGTATAGAAACTTTTTTTTTTGTACTTGTGTTTCTTATTGACATGTTTCTTTGTAGTTCAGAACTTTAGCAAATATTTCAACTTTTGTTTCATAAGATAAACCTGATTTTATTTATTTATTTATTTATTTTTTACAACATGTAGATCCATTCTACAAATTTCCAGGGGTTGTAATGGATGTTTTATTGATTAATGGCATAAATACCTAACTGGAAGAACGCATTGAAGAATTCCTGATCTCAAAGAATTTCTCATTTGTTTTTCCAGTAACTATTAATTTGAAGGTCACCTTTTGATCATAAGAGTTGTATTCAATTAAATTCAGTTTGTTTGTGGCGCCGAATCACAACAGAAGTCGTCTCAGGGCACATTCTTTCATTTAGGTCTGAAACGTCTACTGTTGTAATTGGCAATAAACAGAATCTACAAAACAATGCATACTGTGTCCCGAGGTCGTCAACATGTCTCTGGGATCACATGCAGCTTTTTGGGCTCTCAGCTCTCTTTGCAGTTTGGAACAACATTTACAGAAAAAACAAAAAAAAACATTATCCCCAGTTCCTAGTCTCCCTAGTCTTGTGTAAATAATAATAATAAAAAAAAAAACATACTAATTGTTGGATAAAAATATTATTGCTTTATCTTTCTTACTCAAACAGCACCAAGCTCGATGGCAGGAGAAGATTTTTAACGGATATTTACTTGCAAGGTCTGAGATACGCTGCTGAGAGAGAAAAAACGTGTACAGTTTCATACAAAGTACTATAATATGAGTCATCATGATTAGGCTTTTAATAACAATATGGCAAGTTATTGTAAAAAATGTACAATTTAAATGAAAACGTTTGCCATTGTAAGGATATATTCATTAGGTCACAAATATTTAACAATTAAATAACTTGCACTCAAATATTCTAATGAAGGACAGATTTATCAGATAAATAATTTAAATAAAAAACAAATAAAATT